GGTGGTCGCAGGCAGGCAGGCAGGCAGACAGGCAGCTCAGATTATTACTTTTGTACAATAGGACAAAATGACTTGCCAGAAAAATGATTATATGCTTGTAGTGTCTGAGTGTGAGTTTTGAGATGCTTGCTTATTTTCTGAACTTGCTTTCCTGAGAGTGGCGGTGGGGGCCACATTTTGAGTAGTGCTGTTCTGTGTAGTGGCTCAGTGTGGAGAAATACGTGACCAACCGGCCAAAGCTGCTAGTGAGGACAGCAGTAAGCTGGGACCTAGAAGTCGGCATGACCCAGGGACAGTGGGTGTCAGAAGGACCCCTACCCTCCCCATAGGATCAGAATCCTGTCACTGGTGGCTGGTCTGCCCCTGCGGTGTCCTCTTCTTCCATGCATTCCTTGCATTGGCCCTGGCTCCTTCTTTTGAAAGCAGTGGAATGACCTGGGGAGCCACGGGGCAGGGGCCCTAATGGGGGCTATAGGAGTGGTCTGTGAGGCTGAGGCCGGGCAGGGCACATGCTGTGAGTGGCTGGGAAGATGTTGGCACAGATTCTGTGCCAGAGTCCCAGCCTTAGAACATTGGACTGTTTGAACCCTGGAGTCATGGGGTGTCAGAGCTGGAAGGGACTGCAGGGGCCACCTTGTTGTACCCTTTATTGTCACATCAGGGCCATTGCTGTGCTCCTGACCTCAGACCCTCCAGGCCTAGCTGTTCACTCTCTCTTCCTCCCTGGTCTCTGGGCTTAGCTGGAGCTAGAAATGTCCGGAGGCTGTGGGCTGCCTACTGGATGGGTGAGTAGAGGCTCCTTGGGGGACTTAGCTCACCATGGGTGCTCCTGCTTTGTTTTGAAGCTTTCGACACTGTGTGCTTCGTCTGACTGAGAACAACTCACAGCCCTTGATGACCAAGCTGCAGTGGCTTTTTGCATTCCTGGAGCACAGCCAGGTGTGTGTGGGGCTCATGGGGGTGGTGGGTGAGGAGGTGCCGGTCACTCGCAGGGCTGTGTGGCCCACATCTTGCTTCAGAGACTCAGGCTGGTGCATTAAAGTGTTGCGTCATCCATGTGCTGCTGCTCTTGAGCACCCACATTGCCACGTACCCCAAGGGATGTGGAGGACACAAATGTGGAGGAGCAAAACAAATGTCTGTCTGTCCTTTTGGAGCCTAACCCCGGGTCGGGGATTGCAGCACCATGTGGTGGCAGAGATGAGTAAGCCCCCTCCGTCTGGCAGGAAGACGACCCTTGGATGGTAGTGTCACGCTGTAACACAGGGAAGCATGGCACGTGTGGGCATGCAGGGAGAGAAAAGGAGACGGTGGGGGTGCGTCGGGAAGATGTCACGGAAGAGGCCACACTGCCCTCGTTTTGAGGGAGGTGTTTTGGGCAGGGAGTTAGGCGGTGGACAAAGACCTGGAAAGTGTGAAGTGTGTAAGCAAAGAGGAATCTGAGAGGATTGTTCATCGCCAGGACCCAGGTGCCTTGCGTAGGGGCTGCGAGGTTTGTGGGATGGGATGGGTTGGGGACAGCAAGAAGAACTTGGGTGACAAGACTGGGCTGTTTGGGACTCAGCTCTAGACAGACCCTCAGACCCAGCACCCTGCAGAGCTGCTGGGGTGTGGCTGGCTGCTCCTGAGCCTGTCTCTCACCTTCTTTGTCATAGAGGCCCGCCATCTCCCCAGAAAACTTCCTCTCTGCATCCTGGACACCCTGGTTTAGCCCCGGCACCCAGCAGGACTGTTCAGAGTATCTCAAGTACCTGCTGGATCGGTAAGCAAAGACCAGGCAGTGGGCAGAGGGCTGCAGGTCCGGAGAAGGCTCCTGGGGAAGAGCAGAGCTGTGGGCTGAGTCGCATCTTTGTTGTGAGGGGAGCGGGAACACTGCCTTGCGCTTATGGAAGGTGTGGGCCCCAGATGTGGGGCCATGCTCAGCTGTGAGGGGAGTCTGGAGGGGCTGAGCTGCACCCCGACGAGCTCCGTGTGTACCCTGTGTGCCAGTCTTCATCACTGCCCTGGGGCCCAGTTCCTGGGTCCGGGCGTCACTAGGTGGCGTTGGGCTCCTGTGTGCAGGCAGAAGTCTGCAGCACGTGTGCTGGTCCGTGTGCATGTGCACGCCTGTGTGAGCACCTCACGTTGAGTGTGTGTGTCCTGGCAGCCTTCGGTGCATCTGCTTCAACCTGTGGCCAGCTGGAAAGGGGAGTGGGGCATGAGGGAAGCACGTGTGTGGGAAGCAGACCTGTGTTTGTATGAACACCCTGTGCTCCCTGCTCACTCCAGGCTGCATGAAGAGGAGAAAACAGGCACAAGGATCTGCCAAAAGCTCAGGCAGTCTAGCTTGCCCTCTCCCACTGAGGAGTACCCCAGCGTGAGTTCAACCTCCGTGGAGAAGATGTTCGGAGGCAAGCTTGTGACGCGGATATGCTGTCTCCACTGCCTCAACGTCTCATCCCACGAGGAGGCCTTCACTGACCTCTCTCTTGCCTTTCCTCCTCCTGAGCGTGGTCGGCGCCGCCGCCTGGGCTCCGTGATGCTCCCTGCAGAGAATGTCAGAGTCCCGGAGCTCCCATCTGTCCCCCAAGCCCAAGTTCCCAGCAGGGTGGGTCCTCGGAGGCAAAGGAAACTCTGCATCACGGGGGATGCCCCCCCAACCATGCTGGACATCGGAGGCCGGGGCCCCCCTGGAGCTGAGGAGCAGACCAGTGGGCGAGAGGAGGAAGGGGAGGAGGAGAAGGCGGAGAGGGAGGAGGACGGGAAGGAGGAGACGGTGGCAGAGGAGGAAGAACTGAGAAAGGAAGAGGAAGGGAAGGAAAAAGAGGAAGAGAAAGAGCAAGAGGAAGCCGAGCAGGAGAAAGAGAAGGAGGAAGAAAAAGAGGAAGAAGAGAAGGAAAAAGAGAAAGAGGAGGCGCCTGAGAAGGAGGCAGAGAAGGAAGAGGACAGCTTGGGGCCAGGGATGCACAGGGATGTTGCCACCCCCTCCAGGGAGCGGCTGTGTGGCCCCGAGGGCTCCCGCTCTGTCCTGGACCTGGTCAACTACTTCCTGTCCCCTGAGAGGCTGACGGCAGAGAACCGCTACTACTGCGAGTCTTGCGCCTCCCTGCAGGATGCGGAGAAGGTGGTAGAGCTGAGCCAGGGCCCACGCTACCTCATCCTCACGCTGCTGCGCTTCTCCTTCGACCTGCGCACCATGCGGCGCCGCAAGATCCTGGACGACGTCGCCATCCCCCTGCTGCTCCGCTTGCCGCTGGCTGGGGGCCGGGGCCAGGCCTACGACCTCTGCAGTGTCGTCGTGCACTCTGGCGTGTCCTCGGAGAGCGGCCACTACTACTGCTATGCCCGCGAGGGCGCCGCCCGCCCAGCCCCTTCCCTGGGAACTGCAGATGGGCCAGAGCCTGAAAACCAGTGGTACCTGTTCAACGACACCCGGGTGTCCTTCTCTTCCTTCGAGTCTGTGAGCAACGTCACCTCCTTCTTCCCCAAAGACACAGCCTATGTGCTCTTTTACCGCCAGCGGCCTGGGGAGGGCTCCAAGACCGAGCCGGGCTCCCCCAGAGTCCGCACAGAGCCCACCCTCCACAAGGACTTGATGGAAGCCATTTCCAAAGACAACATCCTCTACCTGCAGGTGAGCAGACGCCCTGGGGTCTCTGTTGTGACCTCTTAGGTGGAGGGATCCAATCCCTGCACAACTACAAGCTTAGGCCAGTTGTTTTTCCTGTCTCTTGCTTTCTAGAATCTGTCCATTTATTGCTCAGTAAGGGGACCATGTGGGTGGCCCAGAAAGGCCCTTACTTCAGAGGAATAGCCATAATTAACTATGCAGTTACTACTGACAGTGTCCACAGGTGAGCAGTAGGTAGTAAGTCAGTGGGTAAGGTGCACTAGGGGCTTGTGAAAGGGCCACCTCCCTAGTGCCCCTCTTGCCTCCATGTTCCTCTTCAGAGTTGAGTGTGTTACCAGAATCTCCCGCCACTGGGTCAGCAAGACAGCAGGGGCTTTGACTAGAGGGATGGGTTCCAGCCGCGGACTCTGAGCGGGGTTGGTGTTTTTGAGGGAAGGTGGGGGTGGGACAGCATGCCTTTGACATTTCTGTCAGGCTGCCCCGGGCAAGGCAGGCTGTAGTCAGGGATCTCCTCCCCCAGGCTGATCTCCAGGAGGCTCACTTCAGGCAGACAGAAGGCCGTCCTCACACCTTGAAGAGGCAGTGAGCTGGACAGCTGGGGACAGGAAGCCTGTGGAGATTTTCCTGTAGTGTGATGTAACCTCCTGTTCCCATTATCGAGCCCTTGTTACCTAGTCAGTCTAGTGTGAATGAATTCCTTTCTTCCAAGGGCCTGGAACTTTTACTGAGAGGAGGGGAGAGATTTTGAAGCCTCCATGTAGGGCAGATGGCGCTGGAGTGCCCGAGGACCAGCTGTGCTTCCTCTATGGTCTGAACCCGGGGGCTTCCAAGTGTGATGGGTGATGCTGAGCAGGGAGTAAGGGAGGACTCTGGCTCCAGGGGTCTGAATTCTAAGCTGCTTCCATGCCCTCTTCTGTGCCCAGGAGCAGGAGAAGGAGGCGCGGAGCAGGGCGGCCTATATCTCTGCACTCCCCACATCCCCGCACTGGGGCAGGGGCTTCGATGAAGACAAGGATGAGGACGAAGGCTCTCCGGGGGGCTGCAACCCTGCAGGTGGCAATGGCGGTGACTTCCACAGACTGGTCTTCTAATGTGAGCCCTCCCAGCCTGCTCCCACCTGTGGGCCACATGGCCACCTCACAGGCCTTGCCCCTTTCTCTTGGGGAGCCAGGTGGTGGGGGCCCAGGTCCCAGGTGGAGCTGCTGTGCTGGGTGGGTCTGAGGGGGCTGAAGGAGGCCCTTCAAAGGGCAAGAAAGATGGGAAGGGCATTATCCGGGTCGACGGCCCTCAGTCCAAAGGGTACGCGGACACCCAAATGTGGAGGTAAGTCCCAGGCCTGGTGCTGAGATCTGCCCCGTTGAGATGTACACCCAAGTGTCCTGGCTGGACAGGCTCTGGGCCTTGCCTCCTGTCCTCACAGGTGGGCTCGGGAGCGTCCTGGCCTTGAGTAGCACTTCCCTCCCCCAGCTCTTGCTTGATAGGGTAGAAAGCACAGTGGACCCAGAGGATGTCAGCCAGGGTCAGGAAGAGGCTGTGTGATGCCTCTGCTGGGCCACCCTCATCTTTCCAAGGGGATTTGGGCCGGGTATGTGGGTGCCTTTGGGGGTTCCTGTATTGACTGTGTTTGAGGAGTGCAGGTGGGAAGCAGTGTGGTACAGGTCTGAGAGGAAGAATCTTACCTGTCTCCTTCACATGTCCCCTCACTGCCCCAAGCACCGCCACAGAGGGGAGAAGGGCCCCTCAATCCCCACCCCCCCGCCTGCCTCAGTGCCTGAAGCGCCACTGTCTGCATCCCCCTTCTGGTAAAGGTAGAAAAATCTTTATTTTATTGCAAAGACATTCGCTCATCAGGAAGCCACTGTCTGTCTGAGGAAGCTGGCTAGCTCGGCTCCTGTGACCCACTGGCCCCAAGACGGTGGGTGGGGGTGGACTGTGACATATAGCTGTTGACCTCACTGTCCCATGCCACTACTACAGCCCCTTCTAAATGGAGAGGAGAAACCCGTGTTCTCCAACAGGAATAAAACTAGTTCTCTGAAGCCTGTGAAAGATGTCATTCTTCCTGTCTTGAGCTGTGATGGCTGCTGTATCCTTGGTTTTCTTCCTTGGGCAGTCTGATGGTGGCCTTGGCTCCTGGATTGGAAGGTGAGGACTTGCCCCTGGTGGAGGTGAGGGCACTAAAGAGAGGGAATTTTGGGGGCAACTAAGGGGTCAGAGCTGAGACTGTGCTGAGGACACAGCAACGTTGAAGCGCTGGCTGGTGGAGGGCAGGTCCCACAGTCTGGGGGATGCCCAGTGGCAGCTGTGGAGGGGACTCACCGATCAGGTAGGCCTGGGTCCCAATAGCTGAGACTTCTCAGTTCCCAACACCACTGGGTGGCCTGAAAACAGCTGCTGCAACATTGCCCCTTCCCTCCTCTGAGAAGCAGAGTAGAGAGACCTTTCCTCTTCCTGGGCTGGGTGTGGGCGCAGGCTGGGGGCTGTGGGAAGGAGGCGCCTATGGCTCTAGTTGTCGCTGTTTCCCCCAGGCACATCCATGCTTACAGCTGGAGGGGGACACAGGAGTGGCTGTGTGTGCAGGGCCCGGGGGCAGCTCTCACCACAGGGTCATGGTCATATTTTCCCCATGCCCTCCTATTCCCTTGGGGAGAACAGAAGCTGGGAAGGTGTCAAGGGTCTGCCGAGGGCGAGTAGCGCTCCAAACACCAGAGTCTGGAGCCATCGGCCCTTAAAGCCCTGCTTCCACGGCACACCAGGTCAGAGGCTGATGTGCCCCTCCAGGCACTCCTCCGAGGGAAGGAGAAGTGGCAGATGCCAGGTTCCTGTTTGCCCAATTATTTCCTGTAAAATGGAGCAGACTGGCACATCAGCCCTGCTGGGATCAGATCAGTTGACAGGTGTTTCTGGAATAACTTCTTGTCTTGGGAGAAGGTTTGCTCATGCTTGTGCATTGCAACCGTGGGTCCTGAGGCCCCTGGGAGGGCCCCAAGATGGCATCTGGGTATGGACTCCACTCCCAGCCCCTGAAGACAAAAGACCAAAAGACTTGGGAGCCCTCTCTGGGTTGCATTTCTAAAGGACTTTATTGTTGTCCTGCTTCAATACCACAGTAAAAAGGGACCTGCAAGCTCCAGGCCTGTACCATGTGTTACCACAGCAAAAACATGACCCACTTGAACATGTTTCCCACCCCACCCTGACCTACTCACAAGATAAATACGTGTTACAAATTTTTAAAGAAAACAATACATGAATAACTTAAGTGATTAGGCACTAACTGTAATTTGAAGAAATTAAATGTGAATTTAAATGGCAACAAGACAAGAACTTGAGATAGGGCTGCTTCTAGCCCATTTTCTCTTTCAAACACACAGGGATGTTCTGTGCAAAATGATCCTAAATTTCAAGACGCAAGTAGCCAACAGGTTACACAAGAGCACACACCACCAGGTACCATGGGCCAGCAGGAATCTCCAGCAGGCCCCCAGGAGAGTTTGGTGAGTCCCAGAAAGATGGCCAGCCTCAAGTCCCCCACGTTTCCAGCTAGAAGCCCAGACAGGAAGGAGGCGCTAATCACCTCTGGGCCTACACTCCACCGGAGCTTTGCCAAAGGGGTTGGAGGCAGGCCACAGTATGGGGCTGAGACTGTAACCCCACGGCAGGTAAAGGGGGCATAGGCAGACTGGAACTGAGGCAATAACCTTAGAATGGTCGTGCTTCCAAGAACTGGGCTTACACTAATGGTTTGAAAAGTAGAAGTCACCAAAATCAAGCTAGGAGACCGAGTTAACTGGCTACTGCCCATCCCTGGTGATGTAGTAGGGAGGATCAGCTATGACGGGCTTCAGCGACCATCTAATCCACCCTTTGACAGGCAAACCAAAGTCCAAAAGAGACACCACACCTTCCCTTTCCTCACTGTTCCCACTCAACTATTCCTGAGGGGGAGCAGGAAGTGGGTGAAGAAAGCCGCTCTGGAGACAGCCCCAGGCGAGGATGGATCCTGTGTGAGCTCCGCTAGGTGAGAAGCCATCTCCATTCTGGGGTCTCGTTCTTGCCAGGACAGGTGAATCTGGACCCATGGGCAGCTAAAGGATCTGTTGTTTCCAAATGAGTTTGTGTCTTTGGGGCAGGGGGTGGAGGAGGAGGTACACGTTAGGGCTGGTAGTCTGGAGCTTGTGAGCCAGGGCTCTGCTTTCCCCTTTCATCCTTCCACCTTTACCCCAATTTCCACCCTAAGAGGCGGGTAGGAGCAGGAACTAGGAATGAAGAGCTGGAAGGAGGCCACCCGGAGACCACCCGCATTAGAGCACCTTAGTCTCTACACACCTAGCCAGTTTCATTTACTTAACACTCGGCATGGTAACATGTTTATGGTACTGCACTATGGAGTCAACACATGAGGTACCATTAAAAAGCTCAGCCACATGAGACCCCTGGTAGAAAGCCCTAAACGGACAGTCAGGGAAGCCAGAGTGAACCAGTCACCCTGTAAATCCTAGCCAGGGTCACCACAGCCACCACTGCCCTCACCCCTCAAAAGCCTTTTTCCCAAAGCACACAGCCTTCCCAACCCTACAGGACTCTGCTCCTCCAACGCCTAGCTCAGGCACCCTTTCCTTACAGCCACCTTGCCGGTCATCTCCCTCTTTCCCCCAGGCACCAGCCTCCCTCTGCTCCACTGGTGGATCACATCTCTCTTCCCTCACAGCCATCACCACTGCCCTGTATCCTAGTCCCTTTTCCTGATTCTGATCTCAAGTTCAGAGACAAGGTATGATTAACCTCTGTGGCCTTGGTGCCTCAGTAAGTTAGTGATCTTTGAGTCGCTCCTGCTGAGGAAATAACTGCTCCCGGGATGGGCTCCTGGGAAATGGCAGGCCACTGGTCTGCAGAGGTGTGCGAACTCATGTCAGTTGGAAGGTGATAAGTCCTATTTTTGGAGGAGGAGTTCTCTTCACCCCAAGACAAACGGAAATATTTTGTCTGGTCTGTTGGCCTCTGAAATACTTGGAAATTTTGGCAGGACCTTTCAACATAAAAATTCAGATCTCCCTCTCTAGCTCTGGTGGCCTTTCAAGCTATCTTTAAAGGCAAGTTTTGAGTTTAACACAGCAACTGCAATGCTGTGGAACCAAAGAGGGGAGAGGAGCTGAGCACACACCCTGTGCTTCATACCAGGCCTATTGTGTTTCTGCCTAGAGCTGGATCTCTTAGGAGTGGTCCTGCTCTGCCAGCTTCTCAGTCCCAGAACTGGCCCTCGGCTCATGTGCCATGCACCTAGCTGCTCCATTCTGTACCCGCCTCCCATCGGGCCGTCATGTGCCTTACCTTACAGAAATTTCTTGCTGCACCGTCCCTGTACTGCCCCATTCCCAGCACTCCTGTCCCAGGTTTCCCTCAGCCCCTACATTGCCTCCACCCATATCACATCCCCCAGCCCTCACCATGCCAGCTTTCCACACCACGAGTCACCTGGCTCAGCCCAAGCCTCCGGAGGGATGCTCAGGAAGACGACTTTTTGTCTCAGGGTGGCATCATCAGACTATGTCAGGGAGCCTGACCGCAGTGCCCTTGTCAATACAAGGGCTGTTCCTTGTCATTTGTGGTTGCTCGTTATCAGTTTTTCCTTCATTTTGTACCTCCCGTTCCCCAGCAATGGCCCTGCATGGGGGTGGCCTGGAACAGGGACCCCTGAAGGTATCAACTGCCCTTCTGCACTTCGGACCTTCATTCTCCATTATTTCATCTCTTGGTGGCCTTGTTTCTCTCCTGTCAAGAAAAACAGGGCTGAAAAAAGTCCATGTTCACTTTGGTCTGCTGGTCTTGGGCTCCCTGGCTTGTCCTCCTTGGGACTGAAGGGGAGGTAGCCCAAAGGTGGTGGAGGGAAGATGGTGGGGGCTGTGACCACGTGAGGTGTGGAGTCTGGCTCAGAGCCCCAGTGCTCTCCTCCTCCAAGCATCTGGTAGACAGGTCTTGAGGACAGGCAGAAGCTTTTTGGCAACAGCTCCTAACTAAGGTGGGTGGAGGCACGGCCAGTACTGGTAAGTCACACGGGCTCCGAGGGGCAGAGGAAATGCCCCCATCAGGCCCGCCCTTCCCACGGAAAAGGTGAAGGTCCCTGATGTTAAATGCTTTGAAGGCCAAGAATGGCAGAGTGGAGTGAAAAGTGGAGGGAGAGGAGATAGGGAGAAGCCAGTTCAGAGACGCTGCCTCCCGTCTCCTCTGTGGGCTTGGTGGCCCCCATGTCACAGCTTGGCACCCTTGGAAGGCTCTGAGGACTGCCGCACATCTGTCCACTCCTGCATGGTGTTCTGCAGGGCCTGGGTCTTCTCTTTGTCCACCTGGACATAGTCCACTTTTTCGTCCGAAGTGACAGATGATGTGGATGGCTGAGGGGACAAAGCAGGAATGCTGTGAGTTATCTGTAAGGTAGGAAGGGCAGGATGGGGTCTTCCCAAGCTGTGTTGAGGAGAGGTGAAGGGAGTTGGCCTCTGCTGTACTTAGAAGATCTCCCTCCTGTTGGAGTACCAGCCCTGCCAGCCCTTGCCTGTAGCAAGGCAAGTTGTGGGAGGACTAGGCCTTACTCTGCCTCCACTGACCTCCCCCGGTCACTCTGCCAAGCGAAGGAGTGTTGGCTGCCTCAGGGCTGTAGGTGTGCCTTCTCTGTGAGCCCTGACAGCACCCGGAGGGAGAAGTGCACTGAGGCAAGGCTCCAGCTTTAATTCTAGACAGGCTGGCTAAAAGCGCTTTCTGGGAGGCAATCTTTCTGGGAGGCAATGCTAGATCTGGAAGTCCTTCAGAACCACTGTATCACCAGCAGGGATTATGGGCCTCCTCCAGCCGTGAGTTCTCAAAGTAAAGCTCTGGACAGGAGGCAGGATCTCTGAGTCTCACACCTGACACCGATTCACTTTGAGATCGGCAGAGTAGTTCTCAGTGGTGTGCACGACCCAGCTCCATGGCCAGGGGATGGGCTACCTCAAGAAATCCTCTGGACTGAGGGAAGGCCCATGCTCCAAGAGAAAAGGGAGAGAAGGCACAGTGGAGTTGTACAGCTGGCTGTGGAGGGAGGCTGAAGGGTACTGCCCAGTGTGGAAGGGACCATGACCCCCCCCCAAGTAGTCCCCCCCACTCTACACCAGGCACCTTTCGGTGGGGGCTGGGGGAGCCCGGCTGGAAGTCCAGAGCCAGGTAATCGACACTGCCTGTGCTCTTCTTGGGGGCTGGACTGTTGGTGCCACTGGGAACGGGAGATGCAGACACTGGGTTTTGCTATCACAAGGAGGAAAAAAATGAGTTTAGGAAACAAACTCATCACCCAGACAAACACATCTCTGGGAAAGAGCTACTTGTTCACTGTGTCCTGCTCTGTGCCATGTGCTATGCCAAGGACTTTTTGCTCTTACATCCCCACAGCAATCCTTTGAGGTATTACTATACTTCCAATTATTTAAAACAAAGCTGAACTGTGGCTGGGGAAGCAGGGCTATTGTACCAACCCCATGGATCATGCAGCTTCCTTTAGGCCTCAGGCCAAATCTCATTTACAGTTGTTCTCCTGAGAGTTCCCACCACCACTCACCAGCCCCTAAGGAAGGAGCCTGTGGAGAGTTTCCTTCTGTCAAAACTTGTGGGATCCTCTGAAACACCCACCCCTATCCTAGAACACACACCCTCCCCCTGCTCCTGCTCCTGCTCCTGAGAGGCCCATTCCTTTAGCGCCTCTTCAGATGACCGGCTCAAAGTTTCTGTCTGCAGGTGCGCTCCTGCTCTGGGAGAGCACCTCCCTGTCTAGAATGTTCCCCAAGTTTGGCTCAAATCATGACAGTGATGGAGGGCTAGGGATTTAGCTTAGAGGTTCCACTGCCAGCCGCACAAACACAAGGTCCCAAGTTCGATCTCTGATACTAACACCACCACCAAAAAGAGTGATGGTCCTGGGATCCAGTGTTTGGCTGTTTTAATGGTTGGTTGATTGGTTCTTTTCAGTATATTTGCAGCCATGACAAGCAAGGTCCTGGGAAGCTATGACCTTTGCAGTGAAATCTCAGGCAGGAACCGTGCTGTGGTCTGCCTGTGTTCACGCCTCTCTAACAGTTCCTACCACCGAGAATTATGTACATGTGCGCCTTCCTTCAGCACTGCCTTTCCCAGGGTAACCATCATGCCGTCGCCACTCTGTAAGACACAGACCTCCTCTGGGGCAGGGAACACTGCACAATGCTCTCACTGCTAGCTGCATGGTGCCCATGAACGTCTGTAGCAGGAGGTGGAATTACACTTGGACACTTGTTGCAGCAAAGGAGCCCAGATGGGGTGAAGAGTAGGCCCCGGAGGACTAGGAATCATTCCAGTGTACCCCGAGAACTCACCATAGGGACGTAATTCTCCTCACTATCTCCTGAGTCTGTGCTTGTGATGCTCTGGGTGGAAATGGGGCGGCAGTACTGGGAGGAGCTGGAGGTGAAGGTGTGGCTGTTGTGAGAAGACGACAGAGTGAGCCTGAGGGATCCCACATCCGGATCTGGGCCACCAGAGCTTCACCCTCCATTATCAGAGGGAGATTTGATAAAAGACAGGTATAATTATTCCCCCTTTACAGATGAGGATGCTAAGCTCCCTGAGATCAATGGCCACGATCAGCTGATGCCAGCATTAGCATGAAAATCCCATCTCCTGACATCAGACAAATTTCCATTAATTTCTAACCCCACCCAACTCTAAGCTTTTGCTTCCAGACACTTACTTGGCCCTGGACCAAGACTTGGTGACAGGTGACTTGAAGGGGAGCTCATCGATGACAGCATTGTTTCTTAGGTCAAGTGGTGTTGGCTTGGCTGGAGAGGGAACAGAGTCCAGCAATCAGCCAGTGGTAATGCCACACAGTGATATACATACACACAATATACAAGCATAGCTAGCACACTAGACAAATCACTCCAGTTTTGGCAGGGTATCTGCAGGGGACTGGTGTTAGGACTTAGAAAGATTTTTATTAAATCCATAAACAGTGCATTGTTGGCTTGTGACCTACTCCTACCCTCAGGTATACTTCAAGTCATCACTAGGTTACCTATGATACTTGATACAATGTAAATAACTGTTATAATAAGGAAAAATGATAAGAAAAATCTGTATATGGCCACATGTAATGTTTTCTATTTTCAAATATTTTAATCTGCATTGGTCAAATTTGCATATGTGGAACCTGAAGATACTGATTGCTAACCATATAAACTTGATCCCTGAAGTCATATCTTCAGACTCTAAATTACATACCCTTTCTATTGTATGTATCTATGGTAACTGGACCTTCAGAATCCAAATCAGGGCATATGTTCTGACAACAGATTTCATCCTCCCCAGGTTTATGCAAAAGCAAGAGACTGTATTTGGAATGGAGACAGCCACTGTGTTTGGAGGGCTGTGAAAACTAGTGAAGGAAGGGAGATGCTATGAGGCTCTGTAGATTTCAATCATGTAAGTTCAGGTTTGAACTCCAACAAGTTACACTGTTATGCTACTACGCCATTCAAATCCTTCCCCAAGAGCTGAGGCCAGTGGAGAGGAATAGAGCAGACCTGGAACTTAGGACTAGTGCTTCTTTGGGGGTCTTCACACAGATCTAATGACTTTGCGGGGGGGTCACAGATCTAATGACTATCACCTGTGTTGGCCAGACCTGCCACTGTCCTTGGTGCTATTCTGCACAAACCCAGGAGATGGGAATTACCATCTCCCATTTCTCAGGTGGGAAAGGAAAAGTAAGGTTCAAAGAATTCACACGCTTTGCATAAAAGTCACATTTCCCCAAGTCTAGTTTCTACCCGATCCCTAAGAAAAAGCAAACAGTCACTGGATGTTGATCTGTAATGGGATGGAAAAGAGCAGACTTACCTTTCCGGTCAGGCTTGAGGTTGCGGTTGACTGGGGGTGGCTGGATCTCACTTCCTCGGCCAGGGCCTCTGTGCACAGGAAGGGCTGTTGATGAGTAGCCAAGTGGGTCAAAGGGATGTGGCCCCGGGCTCATGGGGATGTAGACACTCTGAGAATTATCACCTGCCCGCTCCATGGCCAGCAGGGTGGAAGAACCTGGGTTCATGGACACATAGGTGTCTTCAGAACTGGTACTGTCTGATCGACCCGCAGCAGTTTTTCCTGCCTAGAGAGGGAAGGAAACAGCTGTCACTAGTAAGAAGAAACAAAGGTGAGAATCTGTGTATGAGGTAATGCTATCTCAGAGGGCTCACTACACTGTGAAGATACAAAGGAGACCAGTGGAAGACAGAAATAAATCGAGTCTGTGGATCCCTTCTGACTTATGCCCTCTTGGGATCCACTTAGATCACAAGATTATATCTAAACCTTAAAATATCCTTGGTGGCAGGGTCTCTTAGGTTTCCAGATGCTTGGCCGAGCCAGAGGGTAGCATAAGTTTGGTTTGGAACTCAGCACTGGCCAGTCAGCATCTAGACCCTGATCATCTTGTGGAGGGTGTGAAGAGTCTTGGTGCTGGAAGCTGAGGTCTGGGGCCAGCTTAGCATCCTCCATCCAGCCTGGAGCAGGTCTGAGGTGTATCTTAGACATGTAGGTGTCCGGGGGCTGCAGGCAGAGCGGCCACAGAGTTGTGCAGTGAGCCATTCTCCATCTTTTGCCCTGCCTGCCAAGTCATAGAATTAAGCTATGTCTGTTTTGGTTATCTAATTTTCAGTCTTTTCAGCAGGCAGCAGGCTTAGAACTATGCCCTGGCCTGTTTGCTTACACTTTGGACCACTGTGGTCAGCCCCTCCTAGTGGGCAGCTGGGATCCTGTATTCAAGCTATAGCTCTGACTCTAAGCACTCTCTGTGGTATGTCCTCCTCCCCGTGACAACTGGTGGGTAGGATTGCTACACAGATAATCTACTACCTGAGCCTAGTTCTGCATTCTAGACCCCTTCTGCTTCTCACATGGCTGGTCAACCTTTTTCTCCAGTCCACCTAAGGGGACACACTTCCTTCAGATGTGGGTACCTATATTTTACTTGTCCAAAAACTCAACCTAGAATTCTGAACCAAGGTAAGAACCCAGGAAGGACCTGAAGAGGGCAACAGCCCCACTCCCTTGGAGCTGTGCAAATGTTCCACAAGGTCTGACCTTTTCCCTACCTTAAGTGGCCCAAGAAGCCCTGGTCAAACCCCACTCACCAGGAAAGAAGTCATTCCCTCACTCGTGTACTCAGCAGACTGGCCCGAACTCTCCCCACCACGGGGAGGGTACTCATAGGTCTCACAGGAAGAAGCTGTGGTAAAGGAAGAAAGACCATGTGTAATCCTGTTCAACCATGCCGACTCTTGCCCATCCCCTCCAGCATGGCTCAGAGTCTCCTGACATTCCAGAAAATACTTTTCTCAACCCAAATGATATTCTGTTACTTAACACAGCCCCCCGCCCAACAGCTCAAGATTCCTCCTGGGCTTCTGGAGCCGCAGCACTGGCATCTGCAGAGAACCAACCCATCCTTCCACTTCTGCCCCATGCCTGCACCTCTCTTCGGACTCCTCCAGCACTTACCACCTGTCCCATCACCCTAGCTACCACTTCTGTGAAATTACAGTAACAGTGCTTGAACTAAGTTATACACGTTGGTTTTCTTTTCCACCCAGATGTAACATACACCAGGGTAAGATGTATGTTTTAAATGTCTTACCCTAGTTCCAAAGCACATGGTGTTTGCTCAAATTGCTGGCTGACTGAATCACTGCAAAGAGTTCTAAAGCAAGAGCCAGGACTCCAGGATCAGAGTTTTATCTGTGATACTAATAACTCTGAATAAACTACCATGGGCTTTCATGCAAAGGAGACAGTGAGGTTCAGTCCTGCCATGCTCTGCATGGCTTACACAATGGGAAGGCTAAAGAAAAAGCTCTGCAAAGCCAGGCATGGTCGTGCATGGCTATAATCCCAGCTTTCTGGGAGGCTGAGCTAGATGATGGCAAGTTTGAGCCCAACCTGGGTAAATTTAACAAAACTATCTCAAAATAAAGGAGCTGGTGATGTAGTTCAATGCAAAGGCACTGGGTTCAATCTCCAATAGTACCATCACTACTACCAAAAAGTAAAAACCAAACAAGAATATGCAATTATATATATGCAGAGTTTGAATACACTCAGTAAACAAATGGCAACAGAATTAAGGTACTTCATGTAGAAGTTCAGACTTCAGCCAAAGAGTATTGTGGGACTTACAAAATATTCTCAATATCCTATTTTTGTTCTATCAGCCTGTTAATCCACACAAGTTTGGTTCAAAGTTTAGTTTGATTTTAAATGAAAAAAATGATTTGGACTTCCAAAACCATATGTAATACTGTGGTTGACCAAAAATATTCTGTGTTTCTTAGTAGAATGTTCATTTCTCTAAGGCAGGGCCTGCCACACTTGTCATTGTGGGTGTCATAAAAACAGCTAGGGAGCTTGAGGGTAGAAAGGGATAAAATAAAGTAAAATTTATCAACCAAAACAAAACAAAAAAACAGCTATAGGACAAGCTGGTCAGGGACTAGATAAGATATCTAACCTACCTGGGCGGTCGGTCCTTAAACCTCCCCTGGCTATGGATGACCACAGGCTAGCAAGCCACTGAGAAGCCCTTGCCTACCTTCCTCTCCCTCTGGGTCTCAGCTACAGCTTACACTGACCTCGGTGGAGTCGGCTGTTGTCCATTGCTGGGAGTGTGTTGCGTCTGGGGATGGTGGCAGCAACAGATCTGTTTTCACTGACTGGGGGTCTCTGCTGAGGGCTTCCCCATCGAGGTGTTTCTGCCTGACTTGGCTTGGGAGGCCGAGGAGGAGGAGCTATGGCTGACTCCCCAGGAGTGGCCATTGTCATGGCATTGTGGTTCCTGTCCAGCGTGAATGTCTTAGGGATCTGGTAGGCTGAGAGTGGAGTAGTTGGAACATCCATATTGTCAACCAGGAGGTCCCCAAACTCCCTGCACAGTGTGTTGCTGGGTGTCTTGAAAGTATACACATCTTCATTATCCGTCTCAGACCCCGTGAGGCTGCCCTTGGTGCGGCCATGGGAGGCCAGGCTCCGGGGGAGGTCATAGGTACTGTCTCTGAATTCTGTATTGTGCCGGCTTGGCTTGGGAAGGCTGTAGAAGCCATGGACTTGACCACTGACCCCGTTGACACAGTGTCCATTGCCCTGGGCAAGTTTCTGCACGGCTGTGTCACTTTTCTGCCTTGTGCCCTGAGAAAAGCTGGCACTCCTGGAAGAGAAAGAAGAGTGAGGGTGGCAGTCAGATGAGGCTAAAACTGTCCACAGGAGGCAACACTGATGTTCAGAGCCCCATGAAGCTCCCTGGTATGGAAAAAACACAGCCTGAAGAGTCAGGCAGACCAAAGGCTGACCTAAGATCCGCCTTGTTCTTGCTGTGTGACCTTAGACAAGTGATGTTATTTATGGAGCTCTACATTAGACACCGGCAAAATGGTGATTAAAAACACATTTTTGAAGGCCAGGGATTTGGCTCAGTGGTTCTGTGGCCTACCTCTAAAGCACAAGGGCCTGAGTTTGATCACCGGTACCAAAACAAAAAACAAAGAAAACAACACATTTTGAAAGTCATTTAGAATAGACTAGTATATCTAATATACAGATGTTAAACCAGTGTTGTCTTTATCCTTGCCTAGTCTCCAAATGGCTGTCATTAGAAGGGATCAGTCTTATACTCGCTTTCTACACAGAAATCAAACAAGCCAGTTACCCTTAGCTGTTCATTCTTCAAGCATATTTGAATATGAAATGTATTAAGATAGTGGAAAGAACACTGAAAATGTCAGAAAGTAGGCAAGTCATTTATGTCTGAGTCTCAGTTTTCCCTCTGTAAAATATACCAGCTTATCCATATTGATGCTATCTATAAGTTGTAAATAACTGATTTAAATGTAAGCTGTAGATTTAATCTTCTACCTTGTATTATGGTTTGTTGGGAGGCACCTCTTTTCCAGAAATACATTCTAAAAATATATAGGAAAAATGGTTTTCTGCTTGGGAACGTCATTCAGGATAGAGCCCCCCACCAACCCCGTGGTAAACAACACAAGCAATAAAGATAGCAAAATAAGAGAGGATAATTTGTGTTAGGTTCCAATTCCAATACTGTTGCCATTGTGCTCCACGAGGTGACATGAGGTCCCCCTCCCAGGTGTGATCTAGTGGGTTTCACTGACTTCTAGGGGTTCATCTGGCTCTGAGGCTGCTATATAAGCCTTTGGTTTGTTTTTGGTCCTGGGAATCAAACTTGGGACCTTTACCTTGCAAGGCAGGTAGCAGCACCAGTGAGCTAAATCCCCATCCCTTTAAGCCTTTGGTTTTACAAGACTGGTTTTCAAACCAGATTTCATGTTCTGTGTTAAATACTTTGGGAAATTAGAGTGTGAAGTAGGGATCCAGATCTGCTTTCCTATGTTTTATACTGATTCTTTTTTTTTTTTTTTGAGACACGGTCTCAGTATGTAGTTGAGACTGACCTGGAACTCACTATGTAGCCCAGGCTGGTCTCGAACTCACAGCAATCCTCCTGCCTCAGCCCCGAGTGCTGGGATTGTATGTGTGCACCACCATGCCTAGCTCTTCTTTGTTTTTTCTTTTTCTACTGGGATTGAACTCAGGTCCTTGTGCTTACAAGGCAGGCAGCAGAACCACTGAGCTAAATCCCTGGTCCTAATATACTGTAATTCTTTGGAGGATTTCATTTGGAAAAAAATATTCTCAACAGCAGTGATTCTGACAATGAACTTGGGGAACTTCTCACCAGAACAAGGCAGGTCTCTTACACACACAAATCTTTGTGCTTTTCTGTTTGTGTGTGTGTGGGTGAGGGGGTTGGGCTAGGTATGTGTGTAGGAGGCCAGTCTCTGGAATGGCAGGCTACCTTACAGAAGTGCTCTCAACTGAGGGGATCTTGTCATGTACAGATGTGGCCACCAGGTGGTGGTAGAAAATAGGGGCCAGAAGTTTAGAAAGGAATTAGGCATGTAGACCAGACTTTCAGGATAAACCTGGTTCTGGATGATGGCTTGCAGTTTCATTTTAGCCCCTAAATCTTTACCACATCTACCACCACCCAGGCCTCTGCTTTCTTTCTCTTTTTTTAAAAAATAATTTATTTATTTATTTTTTCAGTCAGGGTCTTGCTATGTAGAGTTCCGGGTAGCCTTGAACTATGTGGCCCAGGCTGGCCTTGAACTTGTGGCAATCCCCCTGCTTCAGACTCTTGAGTGTTGGGATTACAAGGAGCTACCATAACACTAAGCTTTACCTTCTCCATTTTTAGTCCTTTCCATACTCATAAACGAAGCTAACAGCCGTGGACCTAGATAATTGAGCAGGAGGGGGTGGGGGATGAAGTAGACCTGAAGTGTTCACATAACTCACATTTTATATTTTGGAATTTCCCAACTCTTTTGGATGCTCTCATCTGGATTTGTTCATTTAGAAACACTGACAGATGTCCTCTGCATCTAGATGAGGCCTGATGGATACCACCTGCCCTGCAGGAGGTGGTAGGTGAGGTGGGTATGTTGCAGTAGTGGTGACAACCTGCAAATCTTTCCATGAGGTGGGGGGCGTATGTGGCTGCTGAGAGCTTTATACTGACCATAACTGGTGGTGGTGCGGTGGTAGAGCATGTGAGGGAAGGTCTCATGAAGATGCTATCTATAGCTGTGTGAGTCTAGGAGGAAGGACAGTGACAGAAGGAAAAGTTCTCATTGGAGGCCCAGAGACATGTACAGTAATAATCTGGCCAGTTCAAGGATCTGCACACTGCTCAGGCTGGAGGAAGTGTATTAAAAGCCAAGGCTGAGAAAGGCGATTGCTGCATGCTCACATGCATATATGAAATCTGAAAAAGTTGATCTCATACAGGCAGAGACAATGATGGTTACCAGAAGCTGGAATGCACAGTCAAGGTAGTGAGGGAGATGTTAAAAGGTACATAATTATAGAGATGGAATAAATTTCAAGACATCTGCTGTATAGTAGTGACTGTGGTTAATGACACACTGCATTCTTGAAAAAGAGTGAAGGTAATGCAGTTTTACCACAAAAACGCTAACTGAGGTCATGTGATTTAAAATTTGCTAGAATTAACCAGTTATGTATGCATACTTCAAAACACTGAACATAACAAATCATGCAACGATATCTGTGAATTAAAAAATTAAATTATCTGGGGGCCAGGGATTTAGCTCAGTTGTTCTGCTGCCTGCCTTGCAAACACAAGGACCTGAGTTCGATCCCCGGTACCAAAAAAACAAACAAACAAAAAAACCAAAAATTGAATTATTTGGGGGTTTGGCTTGGTGGTAGAGAGATTGCCTAGCAAGTATGATTTCAGGGGTTCCATCCCCAGTATATGCTTTGAGATGACAGGGGGAGGGTCCAGGCCAGGGATGCGGGGAACAAGAAACCTCTGAAAAATTTGAAGGTGGGAATAGGGGTAGGGAGAGTATCACTGGTGTCCTGCAGTAACCTTGAACATATTCAAGAATGGACTCATCATCATCTACCTAAAATTTACTGCTCGTGACTCTCCTGTCTAGGGAAGCCAGAAACCAGGAAATTACCACCATCCCGATTTTTCACTCACTAACCAGTCAGGTCTTACTGAACCATCTCGGTACAATTCCTTCTGATTTTTTGGTTGGATTAGAGGGATAATTAATTTCCTTCCCATTTACCTAGGACCTCTCTGATTCTCTATACCCTACTGGTATTTACTTTCCCAACTTCTCCATTCAAACATCTTCAATATACTATCCCTGTGTCTTACAACTATGACCCAATTTTGTAGGTTTATTCCAACTCCTCTCCCCAATTTTTTCTCTCTAGGTTCCCTTCCCACTCTAGGAAGTACTCAAACCAAACTTTGCTATGTTCTCAGTGGGTCCCACTGAATTAAACCTCTGGTTTTGTTGTTTGCTCTGTGTGAAAGCTAATTCTCACTTCAATCTAGCAGGTTCTAATCCTTCAAACTCAGCTCAAGTGGCACATGTCTTAAAGCTCTTACCTCCAAGCATAACTGGGCACTTGCTTAACTCTGTTCTTGGAGCAGGTAGCAGTTCTTATCTGTATTATGTACCACTGCTACTTGTCTCCTCCAACAGACTGTGACATCTTTGAGAAAAGAAACTTGTATTCATTTTTTCCCTCCTTAGCACCCAATTAGTGTTTGTTATACAGTAAATAACGACTGTTTATTTCATGAACAAGTCAGCAAATGTATACATAAACAAACAAATACAGTGTGGTGCTGCCGTCTTTTTCCCAAGCTTGGCTCTAATCCTTTGGAGCAGGTGACTGTAGTAGGTTCTTCAGAAGTGACAGAACTGAGTCATCCCCAAACACGTCCCAAATAGTCTAAGCTCCAGACTTGAGCTCACAATACTCACTTTGCTCTAATGCATCAAAATCCAAAGTTCAAAAAAAAATAGGGAAGGGTGAAGGGGGTGAAGGGAGGGCAGGGGTATGGGGAAAAAATAAGAACCAAGACCTATTATATGAAGGTACAAGATCCAATGGTAAATGTAACTGTATTGTTTGCTTTAAATGTACTAATAAACTTAATGGGGGAGGAGGCAGAGTTCAAAAGAAGCCTTTTATGTCACAAAGGCATGACATCTCCGAGTCTCCTTTCACATTAGTCCCTTCAACTGTGTTCCTACAGCAATCTGCTCTGTCCCAACATTAAGCTCACTCAACCTTGTTTTTGTTGCATTTGCCAGTATCTTTCCACTTTTGCCATCCTATGTGTTCTAGAAGGTAAAGGGCCATATCCTATACCCTGGCACAGGGCCTGGCAGATGGCAGATAGTACTGATGTAGGCAGACAGGGTCTGATCATTACTTCAGAAATCATGTAAGAGTTGTTCAGCAAGGCAAATGTATGTACCCAAAAGACATACTCAGATGGCAGAAGTCATTCTAGTCCTCAGGTCTCTGGACTCCCCTATTCAAACTATGCTACAGTGAGTGTTGGTTAAGGATCAAAAGGCGAGAGCTGGGAATGTAGCTCAGTAGTACAGCACTTGCCTAACATGTTTGAGGCCCTGGGTTCTATGCACAGCACCATGGGGAAAAAGTAAACGGGGAAAATTCATGTACTGAGAAGACCTGTGGCCTTTTCTACTTTCACATAAACCTTAACTGAGGCCTGTTACCATTACATCCCTGTGGGATGGATCCCTGGAAGCACTGGATTTG